GTGTGCTTATCTGGAGTGCAGGAGGCAAGCTGGGACTGGGTATGTTGATTGGCATGTTATCCAATTATTGAGAGTGCCTGGAGCTAATGGGATGGAGGCAACCCCCAGTGTGAGGGTTGGGGGGCAATATATGCAGTAAAAAGAGGAAGACCTGGGATAGAACCTCGAGAAGTCCCCACTTCTAAGGCCTCAGCAGACAAGAGGTTGCTAAGCTCAGCCGTAAGAAAGGTGTTATGGGCTGCATTGTGTCCCCCAAATTCCTATATGGATGTGCTAACCTCCAGTACCTCGGAATGTGACTGTATTTGGAGGTAGCCTCTTTAAAGGGGTAAATAAAGTAACATGAAGTCATCTGGTGGGTCTTAATCCAGTAAGATTTGTATCCTTATAAGAAGAGGAAATTTGGGTGCAGACACCCAGAGGGAGGAATGCTGTGTGAACATGAAGACAGGCCAAGGAGAGAGGCCTTGAGGAAACTAACCCTTCTGGCACTTTAACCCCAGACTTCTAACCTCCAGAACTGTGAGAAAATTAATTCCTGTTGTTTAAGTGCCATTTTATCTGCAGTGCTTGGCAGGGCAGCCCTAGCAAACTAATATGAGAAGATGAGAGCGTGGCATCCCAGAGGACAAGCGATGGCAGTGCTCCAGGTAGGAGAGGTTGTCCATGTGCTTAGCAGCTGAGTGTTAAAGGAAGATGAAGTCCAAGGCCTGGCCCTTAGAAGGACCTAGAGAGAATGGTGTCAGTGGAGCATGATCAGCCCAAAAGCAAGACCGCCATGGGTTGAGAAGTTAGCAGGACTCCCACTGACTGCCAGTGTAGATAATTCTTTAAATAAATTTGGTTGTGAGTTGGGCAGAGAGTCACACAATGACTCAGGGAGGGCTTTAGAAGGGAGACTCTTGGGCAGGCTGGAGCTCTAATGGGCAGGAGTGGAAGAGATAGAAAAGCAGGAGAGAGGAAGAGCTGCCCAGAAGGGAGGTGCCCCAGGGGGTGGGGAGAATCCTTGGCCAGAGGGAGAGAGGGGTCTGGGTGGCGACAGGAGGCAGGTGGAGAGGATGGCTGGGATGCAGGCACTGTGGCTTTGAGGGTGGGGAAATGGGCCGGCTTCTCCGGCCCCTCCAGGTCCACTCTGGCCCCTCTCCCCCTGCTTGCTGTCCCAGCAGGCTCACTCATAAGGACTTGCCCTCTGGCTCCTGCCTTGGCTTCACCTTGGGGGTGGCTGAGAAGTGTTCATTCTCCATGCCACATTCTGGGGGTCACCAACAGGAAACTGGAGGATGAGACGAGAGTGAGACTGGGGGGTTTATCCCCCTGGCCTCTCCTGCAGTCTGTGGCCTCTAGGTACTGAAGGCCATGGCTCCTGTTTAGGACCCTCTCCATCCAGTTGCCCCCCGGGTTCCGGTAACTGCTCCTGCTGCTTGCCTCCTCAGGCCTAAGAGCCATATGGGATCCCCACTGTTGCTAGCCTTGGGGTGCTGCAACATTTTTTGTTGGTTTCCCAAAATTTGTTTCTTTATTCAACTCTCCTCAAAGTGCCCTGTTTGAAGGGACCATCTTTTTTGGCCTGGCCCCTGACTGATGTGAAGGCATTCTTTCCCAGGGCTGCTTTCCTCTCTCTGAAGATGGAATTAATGTCCTCCACTGAAGGTGAAGTAAGGAAGAGTTCTGGAGAGAAGGGCAAGTGTTTGAGACATCTCCTGCGGAGGGTGGAAGCAAACTTACCAGCAAGGATGAGGCCTCAGCTGAGGCTGGGACCTTGGACTTCAAGGGGTTCCTTTTATCCTCACCGGTTCAGCTGCAAGGGTAGATGGAAAAATGGGTTCAAGAGCACTTGTCATTTTGCCAGGCAGGTGTGACTAGGGAACTGTGGGACAAGGGGATGTCAGAGAGAGAACAGAGGATTTCATGAGGTCAAAGCACGGATGTAGAGGAAAACTGAGGGCATGAGTGGGAAGAACATGCAGTCCGACAGGAAGGGACATGTGAATGTTGATTTGAGAGAAGGCACAATTCTGGGCTCTGAGAAGCCCTTGGGGTGGGTGGCGATGAGAGTAGAGAAGCGGGGCTGGGTGCTTGGTGGGTTGTCCATGCAGACACCAAGGTCTTGGGGAGACATGACCATAAGCTGGTAGCCACAGTCTTTGACAAATGAGGGGGCATGACTGGGACTTGCAGCCACACATGCACAGCCACACACCCACACCCGCCCACACAGTCACACTCTCACACACACGCCCACAGCCCTCCCAGACTCTCCCAGACACCCTCACATGCACTCACCCTCACACACACCCCAGACAGCAGATGGGGTGCTCGGGTAATTGGTTAAACCTGTTCCCGATGTCTGGCTCCGCATTGGCAGCGCCTGTCTGACAGGAAAGCTGGCTGGGCCTGCACCGCTCAGCCTGCTGGCCTCCCTGCCCCTCCCCCTGCATGGCTGCCCTGGAGCAGGGGCTCCAGAAGAGGCCTATGGGCCCTGGCCTGGCTCCCTTCTGGCAGAACCCAGTTCACTAGATGAGGGTTCCATGAAGCCCCACGGGAAGCCGTCACAGCACCCGGAGGGAGGAGCTGGTGTAAGTCAAGTGCAGAGATGCTGAGAGCATGAGCCGTGCTGCTGTGGAGCCACAGGGACTAATCCCGGAACGTCCCACAGGCAGGGGATGTGTAAAGGTGAGGCCCATGGCATAGGCCGGGAGCAGGAAGAACTCCCCTGTGTTCCTCCACTCCAGCCACATTCCAGCCAGGGCAGCTTGGGGTTCTGGCAGGTATCAGATTCCTGAGCCCACTGGGCTCTGTGGGGCAGGGAGGCCAGTCCAGCGGAGGGGATAGGACTGAGTCAGGGTCACTCAGGGGAAGCTTGGCGGGGCAGCTCCTGTGCACCTGCCCTCACCCTGCAGGGCCCTGATCTCAGGCAGGAGCAGTCGGGGGAGAGAAGGGGGCACCTTTCCATGGCTTTTCCCCTTCCCGGCTGCATCTGTGTCTCTTCAAGAGAAACTTTGGTTTGTTCCCTGGAGAGGGCCCAAAAACTCCCAAATTAGCAAACCTGGCAAGCCCTCAGCTCAAAAAATAGTTCATCCTGATTCCATGTTTTTCAGGCTCACAGAAGCCTTTATTAATGAAGTCACAACACCAATATTTACCGTCTGTGGGGAGAGGCACAACACGGGGGACGGCTGGGAGTGCAGCGGGAACTCCCGGTCCGCCCCTCGCAGGCCTGGCCCCGGGAAGACTGGCAGGTTTCCTTGGGTCCTTTCCAGCCCTTTATCTGGATGACAGGGGGTGCTCTGCTGTGATCTTCCTACACCCCCTCCCCCAGCAAGTGAGAGAATCTTGAGAGGAACAGCTCGCCCATTCCTCTGCCTGACCTGGTGCCACAAGGATGCCTCCTCGTCCTCACCCACTGCGTGTGCATGCTCCCCACAGGCTAGCCCACCTGTCCAGCAGTGAGAGAGTTCACCTCGACATTTAACTTGGACTTATCCAGGTTAGGACTTTCAAGATAGGAGGGACACAGTTTCCTGGCTGATGGGGGCTGGTGCAGGAAGAGAGCGTTGGGATCCAACAAAGCCCTTTGGTGCCTAGCATTGACTGGATCCAAGTGAGATGTTGACAGTCCCAGCAGAAGGACACTGTGCTTGGATCCCTGCCTGTGCCTCAGGCAACAAGGCTGGGCCTTTGACGGCTTTCCAGTGACTGCCACATTGATCAAGCCCCCAGGACATTCCAGGAGCCCAGAGCAGCATTAGGAGAGGCCAAGCACAGGCAAAGCCCCTGGCTCAATGGAGGACAGAGAAGACAAGGGCGAGACTGAAGCAAAGGGCACCAGGAGCAAAGCCAGAGAGGCCAAGGGCAGAGGGAAATGGGGGCGGAGAGGGAGGCCTAGGAAGGAGGTGACATGGTCCTATTTGGACTCAAGGACGAGAAACCTAGAAGGACTCCTAGAGAACCTTGAAGGGCTCCTTTCAAGTGGGCCTCATCCTTGACATCCACACAAACCTCATTATGCCTACCACCCTGCCCTCCCCCCCAGCCCCCAGAAGCCATGTACACTATTTCCCAAGGTAGAAGAAACCTTGCCCATTTTGCCAAGGTGGGCAATCCTGGAGGAGCTGAGTCAACTATGGATGTGTTGGGTTGTGGTGCCAAGGGACATGGAGGGCAGCAGACAGCTGGCAGTGGGCTTGGTTGGGCTGTGGCTCAGCAGAGGTTGGCTGGAAGTTTGGACCAGGGAGCCCAGAGAAGTCCTGGAAGTGGGTACAAAGCCCTAGGTGGAGGGCGCAGTGAGGAGGCAGGAGGAACAAGGACTGACCCTGGATGGACAGGGGAGATGAGTCATGGACAAGACTAGGGGGCACTCAGAGAAGCAGGAGGTGAAGGTGTCAGTTACTGGAATGAAGGCAGGTGGGGTGGGGCATCAAGGAGTGAATGGCGGGAAGATTGGGGTGCAGATGAAGCCAGGTGGGAAGCAGTTGAGTTTGGCTAGAGGGAGGTGGCCACAACTATGGTTGGTGACTACCATCAGCAGCAGCAGAGTGGTGAGGCAGAGGCCGAAGAGGAGAGGGCTGCAGAGCACTGGGGAGGTGAAGAAGTAGAGGCAGTCTGACATTGTGAGGGAAAGGATGTCAAGAAGACAGGTTTTGCTTTTTGGATGAGGGAATCCTTGATGTGTGACAGCGGGAAAGACACGTGGACAATTGAAGGGCAGGTGAACTGAAGGGTTGAGTGGGCCCTGCCTTGCAGCTCTTTCCCTGGCTGGGAGGCCCTGACCCTTGGGGACCTGTTGCAGGCTCAGCTCTGAAGCTTTAATCTGCACAAGGGGGTTCTCCATAAACAGAGTGAACATTCTGGTGTGACCAGGATTTGCGGCTGGGACTGTCAGCCTCTGTGAATGGTGCCCCTTCCACCCAGCCCCCAATATTCCTATTTTTCTGTTTTTTTTCTTTTCCTCAACTGGGGAAGCCACCAGACTCTGTAAGCATGCAGAGGTGCACACACTCTCTCACCTCTGACCCACCTGGCCTGATTCTCACTGATCAGTAAGTTTGGAAAGACCTGAGCATAGTCTTCAAGACACAGGTGGACCTTCCCTATGCCTAGCTGCTTTCTCTTGCTGTAGAGTTGGAACTAGAGACCACGGTGAAACACCAACAAAGAAAAGGAGTTAATGGATTGAGTCCCTAAAGGCCCACCCTAGGCTCCCAGACCTGGGGTTGGAGCTGAATGCCCATGTCATTAAGAGAGAGACTTTTATTATTCCCATAGGGAAGGGAGACACAAAGGGATCACTAAGAACTACAGTGGGTGCCTGTAAAATAAATTAACAGAAATGCATCAAAACAAAAAGGAGAGCAGAGAAATGGAGAGTGGCTGGGAGGCTGCAGTGTCTGGTGGCCTGTGCAGGCAGGCAGGCAGGCTCTCTGCGGAGAAGGCCAAGCAGTCCCGGGCCTCAGCCAGCCCATTTCTTGTCCCTCCATCGGTGGCAGCCCCAGGCTCCAAGCCCTGTGGGGCAGTGACTTGAGGCTCTCCCCGCAGCCTGGCCAGAGAATGGCCAGAGTCCAGCCGGGCCCACCCGAGGGGCCTGGCCAGCAGCGAACAGCATTCTGCCCTCGTGGATGTGTGGCAACTGCCCACCCTAGTCATTGGAGGTGACATCGATGTCCTCCCCGTTGGCCTGCTTCGTGGCGATGCGCCACCGATTGATGTGGTGGGAGCCCTTCTTCTTCTGCTCGGACTCGGGCCCCTCCTCCTCCAGCTTCTGCCGCTTGTACTTTGTCCTCCGGTTCTGGAACCACACCTTCACCTGGGCCAGGGAGGGAGGGGCACAGGTGAGAAACACCCAGGAAGCCCCCAGAGCAGCCACTGGGCCTCGGCACCCAGGCCGAGCTGGGAGCCAAATGGCGAAAGCGAGGCCAGGATCCTCTCCTCTGGCCAGGTGCCACCTGGGTCTGGAGGACCTGCTCTTCCTCATGCAAATGTGGGGTGCGGGACAGAGAAAGGACCCGGAGGGCCAGCAAGGGCAGTTTTTGATCCCTCTCAAGAGAGGGAAGGGAGGGGTATGGAGCTGCTGAGCATCCTGCAGCCACAGCAGAGGGGCTCCCAGGCTCTGGAGTCCATCTCTACCGGTTTCTACAGAAGAGCTAATAACTGGTCCTTCACAGCGCTGATGTGATCAGTAAATGAGAGAACATACAAAAGCCATTGCTTGGGTCCCAGTGCGTGCCCTGAGGGTCTGACATGGGCCCCACCCCCTGGGCTGCCCCAGGCATCATGCGGCACAAAGGCAGAGCCAAGTGGTGAGGGCCACACACGGAGGGCAGGCTCAGACAGCCAGGGCACTCCTGGGGCCACGGAGCCGGCTGCTCAAGGCTCTAGCTCACACGCCGCCCAGGTCAGGCTGTTTCACCCAGGGCCCCGTCCCGTGGCATCAGGTGAGGTACTCCCCAGCTGGCATCAGAGGCAGAGCAGGATGGGTGGGGAGCCCTAGTCCCTTGGGCACCAGCTCCTCAGGGTACTCAGAAACCCACCGATGAAGCTTCACCCTCCTTAGACACAGCAGTGTCTGCAGCCCTGCCTGGAGACAGCCCACTTAGATGTGGAAACAGTCACCCAAGGAACGACTGGGAGAAATCTCAGGCAACAGCAGTGAGCTCCTCTTTAAGCACAGAGACCCCCCAATTTCTGTGTCAGGCAGTGAGAACCCTGATGAGGAGAGGGTTCAAACAGAGACCAGACAGCCATCCTCTGTGATGAGTGGGCGGCGTTGCCATGCTAAGCCCACCCTCTCCAGAAAGCCTCTCTAGATTTAGTCCCATCTTTAATCATCCTCTCTTCTCTCTCTTCCTCCAGCATTTGCTCAATATCCAGAACACAGCACTTAATATCCTCAAGTGGGTTATCTGGGGGGTCGCCCTGGCTCCCTAGCTAGTCTTTGCACTTGAGGACTGGGGTGAAAGCCTCACTCCGTGAACTCCCCTGACTGACAGTCCTTTACTTGTCCTGGCAGAGTCAGGCCATCCACAGAGTTGGTGGGGTTGGATCTGGGTGCGGATCCTTTGCTAAGTTCTTCCTTTGGGCTTCAGTCTGTCATCAGCAGGAGAGATGCTTTCTGGGGCCTTGCAGCTCTAGGGCACCTCCTGGGCTTTTGCTCTAGAGGGTCCCTGGGGGAGGTGATGCAGAGGGAGCAGGGGCACGAGGCATGGATGCTTTCCTGGAAATGACAGCACATTTAAAAAGCAAGTAGGTACGTATTACCAACTGCAGCTGGGGCACCTGTGCTGCCCATGCCAGTGGTGAGTGGAGGGTTGTGAGTGGAATGACAGTGAGCACCTGGGTTTTGTTTGAGCACTTTGGCAGCAGTGACTGCTAAGGGAGATCCTTGAACCCTAGGTAGGGCCAAGGGCAACTCTCAGGAAGACTCCCCGGTCCAGCCCCTACTCCCTGAGAATGGGTGAAAAGCACAGGCCTCAGCCATAAAGCCAGCCGATGACAGCCAAAAGCAGGCCTGGCCTCTGAGCCCAGGGCAGTTTCCCACCCAGGATGGCCTACTCACGCAGTTCCCAGACACTCCCATCTGTCCCCTCCATGGAGCACAGCCCCTCCACAGGGTTTCCATGGCACCATCTGCCCTGCCCCTTGGTTTTAGAGCTCAAGGATGGAGTTGGGGGTGGCCAGTGCTCAGGGCTATGCCAAGCAGCCAGCAGGAAGGAAGAGATGAGGTACCCAGCCTCGGTGGATGCTGTGAGGAGTGGGTCTTCTTCCCTTATTTCCAGGGAAAGATTCAAACCTCAGGTAGACAAGGGAGGAGAGCAGATGCTGTGGGCATAGGGCTTCTGGATTCCATGCCCACCTTTCCTTGGGCACAGGACAGGCTGGGCCCTGGGTGGTTCTGGGCACAACCACTTGGCAGCCAGCCTGGCCCCTGCCCCCACTCTGGAGCCTGCTGTGACTCTGCCAGCTAGTAGGCGGATGAGCTTGCCTCACCTCCTATACAAGGCATGTGTGTGACTCAGGCCCAGATCCAGGGCTGGGGAGGTATTTCTGAGAGCCCAAGGGGATGGCCAAGGGCACAGCATGGCCAGCCCGGTGATGGAGTGATCCAGGGACAACACCAGGGACAGAGGGCCCCTTTTCCACCTTCTCCCTACCTTCTAAGAAGAAGACTCTCCCATAGTGGTATGGGTCCAGCCTGCTACCCTTGCCCTGCAGTACCAGCCTGGAGAAGGAAAGCTTGGATGGTGGAACTTCAGCCAGGGCCAGCTTCCTAGCACACCAAGTGAAAGGCGATTCTGAATATTTTTACAGTGAAAATGACTGGGGTCAAAGAAGCAGCTCTCTAGAAAGAGGACCTAAACCCTCTGCCTAGGCAGCCTGGCAATTTTCTGAAGAACAGCTTTGGGCTGACTGTCCAGATGCTGTTTACAAAGGCTGTAATAATAGGGGGATGCTATGACTTAATATCAGTGAAAATGGCAGGCTGAACAATTTGGGCACGATGTGATTACAACCATGGAAAAACAAAATCTATGCATAGGGAAAAAAGACTAGAAGGAGATATACCCAAATCATAGGTGGCATTTCTATGTTCTTTCCACCTTTTTGACTTTTCTTTATTGTACTGCTAACAACAATTAAAAGTTATATTTTACTTGGAAAAAGAAAAGGAACTGGGCTCTGAGCATAGTAGGAGATAAGACTGACATCTCATGACCTCTCTAATTCACTCAGGAAATCTGGGGTCATCCCAGAGCCCCTTCCCTACAGGACAGAGGCCTGGGAGAGGAACCAGGTCACATGGTGTGGCTCCAGAGTGGGACCCGGCTTTTGGAGGCTGTACTTATTCTGCAACTGCCTCCCCATAATAGATGCACACTAGCCCCTAAGGCGCAGTCTGGGTGTCAGCCAGAGGAACTCCTCTCCCATCTTGGACCACTCTGGGTTTGGGGAGAGGTTCCTTGTGCTCTCCCAAGACCCCACCTCACCAAACATCTCTGTTTTTCAGATAAGCCAGATCTTTCCAAGATTCTCCACTTTGCCTGAGTTACCCTATCTGGAATGCTGTCACTTAGCCTTTAAAACCCTACTTAGATGTTCCTGGCCTGGACGGGCCCCATCACCTGTCTGTACTTCTTTAGTACTTCTCACGGTCTCAGTAACAGTCACCCCAGCAGTGTGTTAATTTATTTGCTTGAAACTCTGTCTCCTGACCAGACTATGGGAATCTGGAGAACCAAAGCAGTGGGTTAGTCCGTTTTGATGCCCCAGGGGCACGTTTCAGGTCTGGGCAGCCAGCTGGGCAGAGGTGAGGTGACCTATCCCTGTGTTCTCTGCAAGAGGTGCCTGGAAGTCAGGAGGCAATGGCAGAGGGATTGAGGTCTAATCAGAAAAAGGTTTGGGGAAGTAACTCCTGGAGAGATGGGGTCTTTTCTTGGTTCAGTTTAGTGGGCACTTCTACAAGAGGGTCAGTTCTTAATTCTCCATGTTGTATGTTGGATTAACCCCTCCTAGGGAACATCTGGGCAGGGAGATCCACTGTTGGTGGGAACAAGGATCAACATGAGTCAGGGAGGAAGAAGGTGCTGTGTATGAATGAATGCATATTAATGTATTAGAGGAATGATAGATGAATGCATTAACAAATGAAGGTGTGTGTGTATGAATGCATGAATGGATGAGATGAATGAACTAACAAACTACAGCCTTAGCCAACATTTCAGACTTTACTTTTGAATAACCCATTATTTGAATGAAACAGGTCTGTTCCCTTCTTTCTCACCATTCCTCAATATTAGCCCATCCCAAACAAAAGGGTCTGTGGTTCCTGACCCCTTTATACTATCTCTAAGGGATTCAAATACCCTATCAGGGAGTAGTCGAGTCTTGTAACTCTGACACAAGAAGTTCCCATAGCCTGCTGTTATCTTTTCTGCTTTAAGTCTGTGTCCTATTCTGTCATCCTTAGACACAGAGAAAGTCCTCAGAATAGAGACCTGAAGACATCAATCAAGCCAACCCTCAAACTTCTCTCCTCCCTGCCCTGTCCACTGGGGATCCATTTCCTATTATTTGATCTTTTGAGCTGCTCCCACCCTCAGGTCAAGCCCAATGCCAGGCTAAATTCAACCCTTCCATAGTCTGGTAAACTCAGCCGAGGTCACCCCTGACTCCCCGCAATCACACAGCTCTAACTTCTCCTAAGCCCTTTGTTGCCTCCTCTCTCAGAGCATCCTGGATGCTTATGCTCACTCTCCACGAGACATCACAAGATTCACCTGCCTCCTCAGGACCATGCCCTTAGAGAATCACTGCAGTCTCCCTCATCTCCCCTGCCCTCTCCTGACTCCTGGGACTGCAGAGGTTAGGAATTCTTGGAGAAGAACCAAGACTTAGAGAAGGGTTGAGTCTATCTCAGAACACACAGTGGGCTAGTAACAAAGGTCTCTGGACCTTTCCTTAAAACTCAAGTCACTTGGATATCTCCCTCTTATCCATTCTCCAAAAAGCAGATCATTTCAGAGTGGGAAGGACCCAAGAAGTCCCCTTACCACGCCCCTGGGAGGAAAACCCATAGACAGGTGACCACACACTTCTTCCTTCTAAGACCTCCCTACCTGCTCTTGGGCCCCAAGATGGTAGACAGACTTGACAGCTCCTGCTCCATCTTAATCTGCCCCTCCTTTCCTTTTCACCAACCTAGAATCCTGTGCATCCCCCCAAGCCTTCCAGGCCCAAGGCCCCCTGGGAGCTCTCCACCTATGCAGGTCTCCCTTGACCTCCTCCAGCCCACAGCTGAGACTCCAAGGGGACTCCAGTCACAGATTCTGTTCATGTGCCACAAGTGTACACACTTTGCATTTAGCCCCCACCATCAAATGAGGAATTCCCAACACTAAGGACTACATTTCTGTACCTTTTTTCTCATAGCTCAGTCCAACTCAAAGCCAGGGAAGGTCAAGACACACCTCCTGAAGTGTTCAGAACTAGAAACATGGACCAGTCAACCAGCCTGCAGCAACCAATGCTCTCTATCACTGCCCTTAAAACTAACACATGCTCAGAATCATACAAGCTGTACCCCTGCCATATATACATGTGATATTACCTGTTGGGCATTAATCACATCAAGCTCATATGTGCCCACACTGTGAGCATATACATGTTACACATATCCATTACACACACACACACACGCATGCACACACGCACTCACGCTCATGGTTCTGACCTGACCCAGGCCTGGATCTGCCCCACCAGTCACCAGGACTGAAGTTTAGATGGGCATCACCCTGATCAGATTCCAGGGCTCTACCACAGCAATGAATAACAAGTCCCTAGAGCCAGAAGGGAGAAGTAACCCTTGCTCCGGGCTCCTCCCTCCACTTCCTGGATTGACTCGCAGCCATCCCAGCACAAATATCCTACTCCCAACCAAACACAGAGCCCCTGCGCCAACAAAGAAACTCCTGCTCACCTCTCAACACTCCCTGGTAAAGCTTGGAGTTCTGCATTAAGACCCACACACTGATTTGCTTAACCTTCCCAGAAGTTTTATCCATGAGGTGGTGGATAATACTAGATTATTTAGATCAACAATACAGATGAAAGTGTAAGGGAAAGAGAACAGAGGGTTAGGGAAGGAGCAGGGACTGCAGAGGGCAAGGGAAATGACTGATAAAATTACTGTATGGATATGTGTGCAATCAGGAGGAATTTGCCCACTGACTCAGTACATTTATAGAGCATCTACTGCTCGCTGGTCACTAAGCTGCCCTGGGTACAGTGAGAAATAGGGAGACTTGACCTCTGCCTCCCAGAGTGGAGATGCTCAGGCCTGTTCATCAGAATCACCCACTGAGCTGTTTTAAAAACTCTCCCTGGGTTCCTTTTCCTTTTCCTGGAACTGCTAAGAGACTTTTCAGAGTGGGGCCTGGGAATCTGTATTTAAAATTTTTTTTGCGAGACAGATACAGCCAGTCTGCAGAGTGACATTTGGACATGGCAGGCAATTAAACAACAGCAGAGTCTATGCATATTATGATATGTGGGAGATACACTGTGAACTCTGAGAACTTGGAAGGATTATATAGAAACACAGAGAAAAAGAACATAGATGAGCCAGAAACTCAGGACTGGAAAGAACCCTGAGTTCATTTCATTCAATCCTACCAGTACAGCAACTGAGGCCCAGAAAGAAGACAAAGCCAGAGCTGATGAGATGACAGACAACCATTGTCAGACATACAAACATACTGTCAGTTGAGAATCTTTAGAGATGGACATTTGAGGTGGATGGTAGATACACAGAAGATAAAAAGAGAATAGATGATGAAGAGATAATCAGCCGTTGTGTAAATAAGTTATTGTTAGGGAGAAGATTTCAATTAATAGAAAATAGGAGATACAAATTAACCAGCTTTGGGGAGGCAGTTTAATGAGAGCAGACAGAAATACATGGCTAGATATAAAACAGCTAGCCATGAAGGACAGATTAGAGAGCTCTGAGAGACAAATATAGACAGCAACAGTGGAAATAGATGGCAGTGGGCTGATGGGAGCCACTGATGTTCGACAAATAGCTGACAGCTGGAAATGACAGGTAAGCTGACCTGGTAAATACTGAAAGATGGATAGATAATTAGTTAATTATATAGCCCAGATAAAAATGATAAGTTATAAGAGGGCCAGAAAGATATTGCTGATGATGAAAGAAGGAGAGTGGATGTGGCAGAAAGAACACTGGACTAAATCAGGAAACCCAGGTTTGGATCTTATTGTAGCACTGACTTGACATAGGACTTTAAACAAAGGGAAAGGATGGACTGGGGATGAGAATTAACATTATTTGGATTCATATTATGTTCCTTTAATCCTTGAACAATGTGTTTTCTGGATGAGGAAACCAGAGCTCAGAAAGGTTGAGCAACTTGCCCAAGGTCACACAATATGTTCACAGGGAAGCAGATAATGAAACTGCATCTGCCCTCCTGCGGAGCTCTACCTGGTCCATCTCTGTCTCAGACTCCTCACCTGGAAAGACAGGCCTCTACAAGGAGGTTTCTCAGGCTCAGATCTTCCATAGTTCTATTGTTTTTTGTTCTATATACTAAAACCAGCTCACATATAGATAGAATATGAGTTTTGATGGTGACGCTGGGTACATTACATTATTCTATCTGGTTTTGTTTTAAATATATGTTTGAAACATCTTACAATAAAAACTAAAGAAACAATCTTTACATTTACTAACACATTGTTAGGAGCAAATATCGACAGGCAGTTAAGTTCAGTTTGAAAGAAGATTAATTAAAAATGCTCTAACTGAGCTAAAAAATTGAATTAAAAAATGACATTATTTCAACAAGTGTTAATCTGTGGGTGGTTAGACTATAAAGTGTCTTGTTTTGTCGCAATTAAAATTTAATAACTTACTTTTTAAGTGAATATAGCTAATTACTGTTTAACTACAAACACCATTCTTAACCTGACACCTTGTTTTAGACAACAGTTTTAAAACACTGTTTGCCACTAAGGAATAGGGGGTATTATTTTATTAACTTGTTTTTTTAAACATATCTTTCTTCAAGACATTAAAAAAAAATTAACTCCGTTGTTTCGTAAGCTTTATCTCTGCAGTTAGAACAGCCCAGCTAACAAATCTGAATAAGCACGCGTCTTGCAACGGAGACGGGAGCAATGCATTGGTTAAACGGGGAATCAGACGACAAATAGGACAATAGATACCAAAATGACACGCGAAGAAGGGCGATGAGGTCGGCCACAGGGAGCTGGGGACGCTCTGAGAGTTTGGAAACCCCCACGAGGCCCCCTTCCAATCCAGACTGCCTTCCCGGAGACCCCAGGCTGGCCCGACTTCCCCAGCTGGGGGCCTTCTCACAGTCGGGGACTAGGGTGGAGAGTGGTGGTTTGGTCGGGGCTAAAACGGGGAACGGGAAATGGCGGGGCGCAGGAGTTGCTGGGATGGTGAACCGACCTCTTTCGCTTGCAAATCTGGGAGCTGTCAGGGCGGAAGGCAGTTAGGTCTCCCGAGGCCCAGACAGACCCTGAAAGTCGTCTCCAGGTCAGCAGCCAGCCCGTCCTCCTCCTGATGGACCAAGAGCTTAGGCGGTGCTTCCAGGCAGCTTTTATTTACGGCAAAGTCTTTACTTAAACAAACCCAAATCTGCCTCCCTAAAACTCCCATGTAGTTCTTTTAAAATCTTATCTTAATTATCAATTACAAAAATAACACCCGGTGATTGTATTTCATCTAGTTCAAACACCTCCAATACCACTGAAGTTTATTTCCTCCTCAACTCAACAGGCCTTTCAAGCGATAGAAACAGTCCCTGAGTCTCCAGAATCTACCTTCCCACCAGTCCAGGCCCCTCAGAAACCCGCGCGCACACACCACGGGGTCCAGAGCCCCGCCAGCCATCCCGGCGCAGAGATCAGTGCCTCCCTCCGACCCCAAGCGGGGCTGGCCCCTCCCTGGCTAATCCCCTCTGCCTCTGATGTTTATAGCCTGAGGACACGTGGGCTTCCGCCCCACACCACGGCCGCTGGTGGGCAGCCGAGGCCGCCGCCAGCTCTGCCCATCAACAGCAGCAACGCCAGTGCGGGTAAGGTCTGGTCATCCCACAAAACCGTGGACGCCCCGTAAGAGTGTTGGGAGAAGGGCCCAGTAATCACAGGACTGAGACTGCCCCAGGGCACTCTGTGCCACCGCGAGTGGCTGTGCGCGGACTCCACGCCAGGCTGCCCCCCCACCCCCCACCAGGCCACCCGCCGCCTCCTGATAACCGAGCTTTGGAAGAGGACTCGGGATAAGCTTTGATCACAGCCTCCTCGGTGCTTGATAAAAGTCCCGCGGCCTCTGCAAGTCTAAACACAGTTGAAGGGAAGGGTCTCTAAAGACCAGCTTTGCGGGAGCGCCTCAGGGGTGGCTTTTGGAACCGGGCTGAAGGGAGCCCCTGGGAAGGCTGGGGCAAGCCTCGGGCCGACTCGGCCCCCGACCGCCCCCGCCTCCACCCGGGCTCCCCGGGCGGAGCGCGGGCGGGCGGGGGTGATTGTTACCTGCGTCTCGGAGAGGCTGAGACTGCCGGCCAACTGCTTCCGCTCGGCGCCCACCACGTAGTGGTTCTTCTCGAAGGCGCGCTCCAGCCGTAGCAGCTGCGAGGGCGAGAAGGCCGTGCGGATCCGCTTGGGTTTGCGCGCGAAGGGGCCGTGCAGCAGCAGCCCGTCCTGGGGCACGTCGCTCGCTGCGGCCGCGCCGCCGCCGGCAACACACGCAGGTGCAGACAGAGAGAAGGGCGCCGTGAGCCGCAGCCCGGCCGCCAGGCCGCCCCCGGAGCCCGTCGAGCTCAGCCCTCCCGACACGCTCGCAAGTCCTTGAGCTCTCCGGTACCCTCTCCTGTCCTTGACACCTCCTCCCCTCCCAACACACTTCTCCGCCTTTTTCTTTTTTGCCGTCCCTTAATTCTACTCCCCTCCCCAACACCTCCTTGTACTCGGAGAGCTACCCGGTCGCGGGAAGCGCAGAATCGCAGCGATGCGATCACTGTTGGGTGCAGAGGTGGGCCCAGGCCTAGTGAGGCACCGACCAACCCAAACCCACAGTGTCTGGAGCAACCTAAAGAAGCCAGGGGTGGGAAATCCCTTAACTCTCTTTGTCCACTTGTCCTGTCATATCTCCCTCACAGTGGACCAAGAGTGGAGACAGAGCTGGGTGTGAGGAAGGCAATAAGGGGAAGAAGGGAGGCTGTCCGGTCCTCCCATGCCAAACACAAATACAGGAACCAGGGGTGTACAGAAGGAACTCTCCACATCTTAAAACAGCCTGGCAACTAAATGATCAGGCTACTAGCCCTTTGAAAATTCCTGCCAACAGGCCCAGGTTCTGCCTTGCAAGTGGTAAGAACAGACCAGAGACTAGGTCAACAGCCAGGCAACACCTAGAGGTCTAAGAATCAGGCTTCTTTCTCCTTTTCCACCTGTCTCCCCCAAGGCCTTTTGGCAGAACCCTCTGCTCATAGGTGACTCTTACTACTCTGGTGGGAAAAGGTCTTGTTTCATCCCTGAATAGGCCCCTGCTGAAGAAATGTGTAAGTAATTAGATTTCATCTTTCTCTCTAATATAGATAGATATAGATATATTGGTTTCTGCATGGGCATGTGTAAATATATGCTCCTGCCACCCTACTGTCTTTTCCTCCTATCTACCATACACAAATTTCAAAGAGTGTGACTCTCTTGGTAAATGTTGACCATGATGTGGACTGACTCAACTCTTAACATTCAGGAGATTGGGCTGGATGAGGCTGGGATGGTGGGGTCAGGAACTACAATAGCCAAAGCAAACTTCCACCCACAGTCCCAATCTTAATGAACCCCCCACTAAGCCCTCACACAATCTGGCTTGGCTGCACATGCTGAGAGATTTGAGACAGGCTCTGACATCACCCTGGGATTCTCGTGCAGTGGCACATAGCAGTCAGTCTCCTGCCACACCAGCAATGCAGAGCCCTAGATAAAATGTTTTGACATAGTCAGCTATTGAGATTGACTGATCCAATTAATTTCTTCAGAAATGGCCACTGGTTTGACTCAGTTTGACCTGTTGTTTTGTTCTTAAGATAATTGTTTGGATAATTCAGTTGAGATCTCCTATCTCTGGAAATCTCTGTAAATGAAGCAAGGGCACATGAGTGAGATGCTGTTGCTAAAACTCTCCAGGTAATTGTTACTGTCCCTCTGCTGCTGGAAATTGCCTGACATGACTTTCTCTGAGTCCCTGGGCTTTGGACACCAACACAGAGGAACTTTATTGCTGAGGTTTTCTGCGAAACTGGGTTGCCTAGGAATAAGGGGCTTGTGCCTGGGGGAAGACAAAATCCCCTGACAGGGATAAGCCACTAACTCCCATCACTTTATCCATTTCAAGTGGTTGGATCTGTGCCTCTACACAAGGGAGTGGGATCACATTATAGGGAGATGGTGGGGCACCACCCTGCCCATAGGGCTTTTCAAGTTCAGGCTCTCAGGCCTGAATGAAGGAAGAAAAGTTTAATTTGTGGCAGAGGACACAGGTAGGTGGTGATCAGGGAGGTAGTCTGGCAAAGAGGGGTAAAAGGGGGAGAAAAGAGGAGCTTAATCCAGGTAGGAATAGAATTAAGGTCTTGAGTGGTGGCTGGTGTGTTAGAAAGGTGGTAGATGTGGGTGGGAAGCAAACACTTCTTGTTGATGTTAAAATAAATTGTTTCCCAAAACAACAACGTTCTGAGCCCAAGTGAGGTCCCAACAGTGTGGCAAATGAGCTGGAGAAGGAGAGAGAAAGCCTAGCTTGTCCTAGTATTCTCAGGGTTTGGCCTCAGCAGCTCAACTGGCCCCAGCTGGTCAGAAGTGACGGCAGCATGGAGAGGCCCCAATATGCGTGAGGTAGTCGGATCAAAGGTGTGGCCGGCATTGAGGGGCTGAGAAAGCAGGACAACAGTCTGCCTTAGTGGGTGTGATTTGGTGGCTGTTTTGTAATTCTGTGATGGTGGGGGATGTTTGTGTGGTAGAGTTCTCTGTATTTGTCTTTATAAATACAAAGTGGGGGATGGAAACAAGCTCTTCTGCCCTTCTGACAGACACATGCCCCTTTGCCTCAAGTCTAACTCTTTTAGCGGAAATAGGTTGTTTGGGGTCTGCCTCACTGAGAGAATGGCCTTGGTTCATCATTAGGTCCTGTTGGGGCAGACAGCATATGTCCTGCAATCTGTGTCCACAGTCATTTGCAGAAACAGGGGTCTTTCTGACCCAACCACAAAGATAAGAGGGCAGGAAAAAATAAGGTGCTAAAAAGTGATGACACATTTGATTTCAAAAGAAGCAGGGCTTTTCCTTGTAAGAAAGGACCTTTAGTACAAAACTAACCATCTAGAGAAACTGATCAATAGCTACATGTTTCTGTAGGGACAAGGGTGCTTGCTGCCTTTGGTGCCTCAGTGCCTCAGCCCCTCTCATTCTGACCTTTGTGGGGGAGAGCGGGGGGGCCTCAGCCAACTCTACTTGGCTTCAGTTTGGATTCAGTTTCACTTAACTGGCCCACAAAGGCAGAAAAAGCTTGAGGCTGGGATGCGGTGTGGCCTGTTTCCATGCAATAATTCTGTGAGAGTGGGCAGTCAGTTTCAGACAAGGCCAGGTGGAAAAGTGGAAAGGGGCTGGCTTAGCCTTCTCTGGAGCTAGGAACTGAACCCCACCCGGTTTTCCTGCAGCCTCTCACTTCGAAACTCTTCATGGCAATGGTTGGGAACTAGCAAATACAGACTCTCAGGAATGAGGTTGCTGGAGGTGGGAGTTAGAGATCTGAGACTCCCAGGACTCGAGCTGCCTTACTTTCTGGGGAGGCCGAGTTGAGCCAGGGGCTCTCGGTGGGATGGTGGGGCAGAGGAGCCCGGGGCTAAGAGGGGGAGAGGCTGGCCAGGCGGCGGAGACAACCTCATTCCCCCTCCTCCTGCCGGAACAAAGGCTCCCTTTGAAGCACCGGCCCATTACCTTCGCCTGTCCCAGAGGGCTGGGTCTCCAGCGGCCCCCACCCAAAGCTGCTCCCCGGCCTGGAAAGTTCTTGATGTCCGGGAAATAGCACCGAATTGCGGCCAACTCTTGGTCTCCACCGGCTCCTCCCCTTCAAAACCTAGAAAGCCGCCCCCGGCTTCAGGGTCCAGCCTCCTGGTCCGGACCATTACGCACTGGTTTTTCCTTGTCAACAGCCTTGCTCAGCGGAGCAGCCGCTTCCCGGCGCGCCGGGACTGCGCGGTCAGAGAGCGCTGTGCGCAGAGCGCAGACATGTTTCTTTTCGTTTGTGTAGGGTTTCGTTTCTTGCTTTAAAACGGGGCTGAAATGAGCATCGCAGAAACCCGGTTCTCTAGAAAACGCGGCGCCGGAGGGTCTGCGACAGCTCGGCTCGACTCGCAGCTTCCAGGCCCCGTTGGGACCTCAGGGCGCACAGCAGCCGGGACGTGCATGGATCTGCCACGACAATGACTGACCCCGAAGCCCAAACATCTCAAGGTTCGAAAAATCTTTGCGGTGCCCAGAGGATTTCCAAGTTCGAAAATGAGACCACATTTGGCTCCATTTCCGCGTCCAGACACGGTTCTTGGGAGAAAAATCCAACCGTTTTTGCAACTCGGCTACGTGCCCGCCGGCTCTGATGGCTCAGGAAGCGGCGGCAATTTCCGAGAGGATTTTGAGGAGGACTTATCCGGCCTTGCCTGGCTGGGAATGGCCAGAGTCTGAGCTGAATCTCTCTCGAGGCGCCCGCAGCCCTGGGTGCCCCGAGCCGGCGCTGGCAAGGCAGGTAGCTCGAAAGGCTACGTGGAGGCCGTGGGGCTCGGGGTCCGAAGCCGAGGGCGCCGCCAGGGAGGCCATTTCCGTATGAGCAGGGACCACACAGCTTAGGAAGGGCTCTGCCCTCTCCTTCGAGCCCCTGTCCCTGTGTCCTAACCTCAAAACTCTCCGCTGCCCAGGCCCGAAGGTTTACAAACAGCCGCGACTTTCAAATTGGCCGGTCGTTGCCAGGTTTCAAGATCCAGGCCAGGCACTGAGCCCATGGAGGACCAATGTGGTTTCATAGGTTTTGAATAAAACTTCATCAGCATACATGGATTTTGACTGATTTCTTGCCCAAAGCGGCTGACACCATAGGCTTTTTTCCCCCCAAATGATATGAGCTAATCTTTGAAATCCTCAAGGGAGACAAGTTTGCTCCACAAAAATTCTTGTTCAAATAATTAAATTCTCTTATTTTGTGGGATCTGCTGGGTCAGTATCTACTGGCCAGATGGGACTGAGAAAATTGTCTGACAAACTGGACCCGGGAAGGTCGCTTTCTGTCAAAGAGGTTAAGCAAGTATAGCTGACGCTTCAAGAGATCATCTATTACCTAGATAATTGTACCAAACATCCAATTTACTTTGTGTATAACCGCTTTACCCGTCAGATTTGCTCCAGGAGCTCAAGCTCTAATGCCGTGTCCTTCTCATTTGTTTCTCTAAAGCCTAGTTACCTAGGTCTTAGTCGTAGAACCTCATAAGGCTGTGGTCGGGTTAACACTAACAAAATAAAACCAGGAACTAAAGCAAATACAGCACAAATTAAGGTCACTCTTAAAAAAAAAAGGAAAAACAAAACTCCAACAAATTCAAGGAAGAAAATGAACTCAACAGATCTCTTTTTCTTTAGGAAAAGTAAGATAATTGAAACTTTGTGTGTGTGTGTGTGGCCAGTGGGCCAACTGCGTTAGCAAACTCATTGCCCTTGCAGACCCAGAGACCACGACTGCCTACTACCTCAAAAGCTCTCTGCCCCCGCACCTTGCCTGGGAGGAGGGCCGTTGGTCCCCCAACAGCCGGGTGGACTCCGAGAGTCGGCAAGCGGGCGGAGGAAGCCGGTTTGCTATTGCAAACCTTCTCAATCCTGTGTCCGAGAGGCCCGTGTGACTTGGAGAAGTCGGGCCGAGATTGCTGAGAAACATCGCAAGACGGCGGACCACTCTACACTCATTAACTCTCCAGTTTGGCCTCCCTACCGCCCTTTCTTCCCACAGACCCAGGGCACGGGGGTGGACTTTGCCCTCCTCCGAGGCACCAGGGAGGGTGGATCCCTGGGAATTGGTGGTGGACGTGCGAGCGAAGTATGGTCCCAGGTTCGCCCGGCGCTGCGCTCTCTGGGCTGGGACTGGCTCAGCCCGAGAGAGATCAAGACAGGCCGCGGGGAGGACCAGAAGAGGTTCCAAGGATGCGCCCGGGTTTGGCGTGCGGACCGGCATCATTCTGGGAAAGACTGGAGGTCCCAACCCGGCTCTTTAGGAGGGACCCCAATGTGGCAGAAGCGCGAGTGGATCCGGCACGGCTTTTCCCAGCTTTGGAATCGGCCTCTGCGGAGCCTCAGCCTTCACGCAACAACTTCTAAAACAGCCCCGCGCATCCCGAGCCTCCCCGGTGCCATGGCAGCGAGGGCGCCGACCGGCCGCTTAGGCGGGCACAGCGTGGGCACTCACCCTGGAAGCGGTGGCCGAAGAAGCGGTTCCGCAGGACCCAGGGATAGAAGTGCAGAGGGTCCCGGTGCTGGGCGCCGAAGAAGGAGTGAGGGGGCTGCAGCGGGGAAGCGCCCAGCTGGTGTGCCGGGTGCACGGTCAGCGCGGGATGGTTCATGGCCTCGGGGAACACGAGCTCGGGCCCACCGTAGAGCGAACGGCCGGCGCCCGCGGCGGCGGCGGGGAAGCCGCTCACGAAGGCTGCCTCGGCCGCGCCAGGGTGAGGGTAATTGAGTGCCGTGGGCCGGAGCGGCTCCTCTGAGGCGGCCGCCGCCAGGGGATGGGAGCCGGTGCCTCCGCCGCCAGTGCCCCCGCCGGTGCCGCCGTCCTTGGCCACCAAGGACTCGATGGTAAAGCCGCGCTTGGCTGTGGGCTGGAACATGGTCGCGGCCGGCAGAGCCGAGCGAAGCACCGGGCTCTGCGGAGCGCTCCGCGTCCTGGCGCCGCCGCGTGCGGGGTGTGCACCCAGCCAGGCACATGCACACACGCCAGCACCCCTCACCTCCCCCGCCCGCCCGCCCGCCCGCGCTCAGCCCCTGCCGGCGAGGCAGGCACGCAGTGGCGAGGGGAGTACTGGCGAGAGAGTGAATGCAGAGTCGGGCAACCGCGCACAACTAGGAGCGCCGGCCTCTGCGGCCGAGAGGGCAGCTCCCGGCGCGGGCTCTGGCGCGGGTTCCGTGCGAGGCAGCGAGCTGCTCTTGCGGGAAGCACACGGCTCCCTCCCTCCCGAGTCCAGGACAGACCCCCGCCCCCGGTCGTCCCAGCACAGCCCGGCCCGGCCTCAGTCGAAGCGCTGCGAGGCGCAAGTTAGCCGGCACCTGCCCGGTGCTCGCCCATTGGCCACCGCTCACCTGCCCCGAGGTGGGGGGCGGGGCGGGGCGGGGCGGGGCGAGGGACGGCGGGTGGGGATGGAGCCAGCAGTCGGAGGCAAAAACCGGAGTGGAGCCTTTGCGGGGCGATTTGGCCTCCCCCACCTCCCAGCACACAGGCACCCACCCCTCGCCGCTGCCTTCTAGCGTCTCCGCCCTTTAGCTGAGTCTGGCTGCCGCCTCAATCGCCTGTATCCACGCGGGAGCTGAAGAAGGCGTCCGAAGGTCCTGGGGCTTGAGAGAAACTCCAACCCCACTCCCCAGCGTGCAACTCAGTTGAACCCTCTGCAGTTCATCCCAGGATGTCGTTTCAGTTCTCAATGAACTGGAACTTGGATCTGAATGGAAGATGTGTGTTTGGGATCCAACAAATAGGTTCTCCCGAGAACCAGTTCCCTGCACCACTGGCCTCCAGGACCCTCCCATTCACCCACCATCCCTCTCCTGGGCCTCGGTCAGAAGCCAAGGCCTTGTTGATGAAGTTTCGAGTTTTCTTGGTGTTACCGGGAACAGCTCCAGAAAGGACACGCTTATTTCTTTTCACAAGGCGCCAGGCCGTGGACAGTGAGCAGAGTCGCCGGAGCGGTCACGCTGCAGCCCTCAAGCCACAGGCTGCGGGGGGTAGAAGCGCCTCTTTACGCCCAGTAACAGCAACCGCGGCCGGCTCGCACCAGGACGGCGGGTCTTGGAGTGGGCCAGTCTGCTTTCCTTGTCTTCTCTGGTCATGGGGCTCAGGTGCAGGCTGGCCGGGCCAGGCCGGGGCCTCGGGGACACTGACTTAAATTGGAGCTACCCGACCAGTCGACATGGTTCCCAAGAAGACACACCGGCCGTCTCGGAACGCCCGGTCGCCTGGCTTCCCCTGACCCTCACCCTCCTTCCACCCGAGGTGCAGCGGACACCCTGCTCTGGACAGTGTCCATTTTGTGCAATAATTCCCCCAGGCCATTGGCCCAGTACTTCCTAACTTTAACCCGGGCCTTCCGGGCCGCAGGACAACACGGCGCTGAGGCCTAGGAGGGCGGTGGGCGGTGGGCAGTGGGTGGTGGTGGGGAGGCTGGGACTGGGACCCAGCGCGGAGGGGACTGCCACGAGGGGACGGCAGCGCGTTCTGCTTCCAGGCCACAGCCGGCCGGGATCAGTCATAGCTGTCCGGCCGCGGCCTGGGTGCGCTGATCCGGGCTGGGTCTCCCAGTGCCCCAGGGCTAGGGGCTCCACGGAGCCGCGTGACTCTGCAGGGATTCCAGGCCGGGTCTTGGGAGCAGCCTGCCTGAGTGCCGGGAGCCCTGGTAGGGGAGAAAGCTCCCGGCGCCCTCGTAGTCACAAAGCGGGTTAAAGTCTATTTTCCACTCGACTGCTCCGAAAAGCCCCCGCGCGCCTATATCGCTCCGGCCCCATTGGGCTAGTTGGGGAGGGGGCGGCTAGAGAAAGGGAGGTGAGGTTACCGCACCCTGAAGTCCTTCGCATCCTGGGCAGCCCAGGGCCGAGCACTGAGAAGGCGCCCCAGAAATGCCTGAGGAAGAAATCGTTACCGAATCCGTGACGAGTGCCTATGCCTCTTTTGCTGGCCTGTCTAGATCTTCCTGGCTGTCAGTGCTGTTCACTCTTTCTGTCCCCTTTCAGTCTCGGACTCTACTTCCCCTCTTTCCTGCTTCCCTGCTCCACTGCTCCCACCCCCGACTTTTCACTTATTTCGTTTTCCCTCCTTTGCCCTATCTTCACTCTTGGAAAAGGGGAAACTCCGCTGACTGGGGACAGGCCATATCACTCAGGGGGAAAGAGTGTGGACCTGGGCAAAGGCACAGGACAAGATTTTTGTTTGGAAGGCGATGGCAGGGGATTTTGTTGGAGCAAGATCTCCACAGGGACTTGGGTTCAGCTGGATAAGCATTGCCTGGGCCTGTGCTCTGCAGCGACAGACCAAGTGCTGGGGGCTGCGATGGAGGAGACTGGAGCCAGAGCAAGTTAAACCCGGCCCCAGGGCCTTGAGCCCATAGCCAGAGATGAACCCCACACGTCCAACAGCAGGCCTCCACCTCCTACCCCACCCCCAGCCTAGCCACGGCCACCAACTCGCTAAACTGGACAGGCGGAGGATCTTGGAATCTACCGGGCCATTCCTAGGCTTGCATCTACACTGGCCAAATCCACTTTAAATTAGCATGGCTCTGGGTATATATGTTCCTATCTCAATCGATGGGCTTTTATAATAGCAACACCTCCCTTTGTTGTGATGTTTTGGAAATGCTTTGACATCCAGCTGTCATTAATCCCATTTTACAGATGAAGAAACAGACCTCACAGTACCAGTAACTTGAGTCTGGTCACCGTCTGGGTTGTGCTGGGACAGCCCAGTGGTCCTGGCCTGGCTGGGGTTCCACCCCTAGCCCCCGCCACTGCAGGTGACTCTCCAGAGACCCCATGTTCACAGGGTCAGAGGTGGGAGGCTAGGGTGCTGGGTTATGGGAGTTCTGCCTTCATCTTGCCTCTCCTTTCCCTCTCCCAGCGCTCCTTCTCTCGCTATCCTCTCCTGTAATTCCCTAATGTCCCTCCTTCCTTTTCTTCCCTCTCCAGACATTTACCCTTTACCCGTTACCTCTATTTCCGCTCCTCCTAGGGTCTCTCTTCCTCTGTTGTTGTTTATGTGCAGCAGGTTAAGAGAAGAACTTGTCAGCCTCAGGGGGTCTCTAAGCCTGCCCGAGATCCAGCATCCATGCCCTCCACCCAATCCCAATCTCTTCCAGCGCCCTCTCCCCTGCCCAGTCTCTGCCAAGCTCTTGCACTCTCCCCTTCCCCACCCTAGCTGATTGCTACACGAATGCGTGCCCTCCTCAGTCTCAACCAAAACCTCTCCCACCACCACCTTGGTTCCCCAACCCTCTTCTCCACCTTCCAGTCCTCCCTGCCAGGCTGCTGAGTTCTGCCCAGTCCTCAGAAGCAGCATGCCTTCCTCATGCTGGTGCTGCAGTCCCACACCGCTGTGGGCTGCTTACCTTTCACTCCGCACCACCTGCCCCCACCACCCTGGACCACCCATTCTAACTCTGGTTTATCATCATATCCCACCCCACCCCCCACTTTCTGGAATAACCTGTGTTCAAATCCTTACTCTGGCATATACTAATGGCAAAACCTGGGGCCAATAATCTTGCCTCAGCTTGCACATCTGTGAAATGGCAACTTCTGGGAGGATTAAATGAGATAAATAATTCACTTCTGCACAGGACCAATGCCTGACTCCAGAGAGGTACTCAGTAAATATTACGGTCTCTGCCTTTGCCCATGCAGGAAATTTGGGAATTGTCCACAAGTCCTCATGCTCTTTCATCCTCTGCATCCAACCAGCCACCAGGTCTTGTAGTCAGGCACTTCTGGAGTCTATTTCTGCCTCCCTTTCTGCTTCTTTGATGGCTAACTTTATTCTTCACGGCTCCGTTCAGCACCCCTCCCACCCCCATTCTTTCACCACTCTGTTGTTGCATTCACCTGCAAAATGGAATTGTCTGCATCTGTGTCTGTCTCTCTCACTAGACCACCCCCCCACCCCCCACCCCCACCTCAGTTGGGAGGTTGTGGTGTACATCCTGACCGCCGGCACAGGCCAGGCAATGTTCATCCAACAGAGCCCTGCTCCTGTGGAGAGCCGTTCCAACAATATTCGCAGCCATCTCCCCACCTTCCTCTCCAGCCCAGGTTCATCTTCATGTCTCCCTGTCCTACAAAGTCTTCTGTCCTCATGTTTCCTCACTTGGTTGACATTGTCCTCTTCACCACCAAACTTCATGAATTAGTTTTAGCCTTTCCTCAACTTCCTCATTTCCCCTTGACTTAATAAGCCTTTGCAACCTGCCTTTCAGCCCCATCACGTTAAGGAAGTGGCTGGCAAAAGCTCCCAAACTTTTGTTATGGTGATAACACTTGTGATTACGAAGACAAGAGAAAGAACAAGCACCTTGCGGAGTTAATGTGCGATGAAGGAGTTGCAATCCCCACCCAATAGGGTGGAGGGGTGCTAGTGCACTGTAAGCACTTGATACACATCAGCTATGATTTTATGGAGCTGTGCTCACCAGTATGCAAGCCATGTGGCTATGAGGTGCTTGAAATATGGATGGCCCTCACTGAGATATTCTGTAAAAGTAAAATACACAGCAGATTTAGAAGGCTGAGTGTTAAAAATATATGTATCATTAGTATTTTCTGTGTTGATTACATGTTAAAATGATAATAGTTGGCCTATATTGGGGTTAAATCAAATCTATTAAAATAAGTTTTATCTGTTTCTTTTTACTTTTTAAGTGTGGCTACTAGAACTAGAATGTCTCTTACATTATAATTCTTTTGAACAGAATTGTTATAGAAAATACAGATAATCCAAAAGAGGAAAGTAAAGTAAATGGGTGTGGGGGAAGGGAAAACAGAGATCTTAACCACTATCACATTCTGCCACCCAGAAACAGTCATCACAAAATTCTTGCAGTATATCCTCCTACTTCTTTCTTCCTATTTGTGCCTATCTTAAAAGGGGTGGTGGGGGAAGATATCACAAGGTACATAGTTTTGTAACCTGCTTTTTTATCTTTATAACCAATCACAAGAATATTTTTATTCATTAAATATTCTCTCTTGTTGGA